GATAAAGTGCACGCGTACCGAGCGAAAATTCAAAGTCGATTTTCTCGAAAACAACGCCTCGAACGAAAAATTTTTATTCTATATCTTCGACTTCTTTTTTCGCGTAGAATCATCCCCTTTCCGCTTGTACCACCAGTTACCAACCACCCTGTATTAGGTGTATTATATAAAATATTTTGAAATTTCATTGGCACGGAAATGAAACGGGAGACTATTGTAAATACGTTAGTAAAATTTAGTCGTCTCTCGTTAGAGCATGATGACACTTGACTAATAGCAGTGGTTAGCGCCTTAGGTTACGAACGTTCGGGACCCTGATTCGAATCTCGGCGCCCATAGTCCGATTTTTCTTCCATGGCACATAAACCAGAAGAAAGCAGCAGTAGTTAATAAGCGACATCTACATCAGCAGCAGCAGCAGCACTATCGCGATGACTACTATTACACCTAACCTATATATGTACTAACCCTTAGTTTTTTGACTTGTCATGCTAACATTTTCGACTTATTTCTTCATGAAGCATCTCTTGCTCGGTTGTATCACCAGTTACCAGATATTCCACTTTACGAAAAATCGTAATTTTTCTATGCATATTAATTTATAAAGTTGATAACATTTTTTCAGGGGTTCAAGTACAGATTATGCTAAACTAGTCATTTTTTCAGAAACTTTACAATATTTTATTATTTCAACCATTATAAATCATTATTTTCGCACAATTCGTACAGCTAACAGCCAATCGATTGTGCTTAATTAAAGTTTGTTACCTCCAAATAAAAACTCGATCGAGAAGCAATCTTTTGTGCCCATTACACCAAAATCACACGGTTTTAGTGGTACTAGATCAGGTTCGAAGGACCACGAAGTTCTTGCCAAAAGTAGAAGGTGGACGACGACAGAATGGAATTGCGTGTATCGGTTCGTTGCCAGTTGTAAGGCGGTACTGGCGTCAACGGTCGCTAACGACGGTGACGACGACCTCCACGAAATCAATCTATCGTATAAAAAGATTGGCACGCAATACAAATACCGGTGACAAGCCAGTCTTCTGAATGGATCGTATTTTGTTCCCAATGGACAGCAGTTCCTGAATGAAACGAAAATGGATGGAACTCTGAGCTGCCTTTTTTTTTGTTTTTTCGTTAAACTTGTACTTTCGTAGAAGTTATGGTATGAGTTTGCGTAAGTTGTATCGATACTGATGGAGTTTGCATGCATTTGACTGATATTTAACGTAACGGGTGTTGCTATGGAACTTTGTAAACTATTGTTTTGGAACTCGTCTCGCTATCACATATTTGGAATAACATTAAATCTTAAATGCACGTAAGTTTTCCAGCTATGTATAATAAAACTATTGTAAACAATACGAATTGCCAATTTTTATACTATAGGAAATATTACAATTCATATGTAAATTACAATTACATATGTACATAACATAATAAATGTTACATGTATATGTTGTAACATTCTGTATAACATGACCCTTACTTTTTATAAACTCAAATAACTAGACTATGGACGTTTATGCATTTGTAGAAAATTGAAATGTACAGAAAATTTCAGATTGCACGTAATATGCGAAGATATACACAAAATATAGAAAGTAAAGTACTTGTTATAATATCGAGTAGACGAAACAAGTTCGTATTTACATTTGACCTTTTTAATTACACCAATAAAAATATGAATTTGCATAAACATTCAGTCTACAAATAGCAAGAACTTTAAAGAGTACGAATAAATTCAGTAAAATGATTACATTTCTATTGTTAATACATCAGTAATTTTCAATCATAATTCTATTAAACTCGAGTTACTAAACTCGAGTTTACAAGTAAACTAAACTTCATATATACGAGATAACTTCAGTATCACTCTGCATATAATAACATCAATAATATTCAGAAAGGACAAAATGATGTTTTATTATTAGATGGTGATTTTGCTTGATACGCTTTTCTGATTCATTATAATCTTCAATATTTTCTAAATATTTTCTTGCCATTCACCTTTATTATTCCTCTAGTTTGTTTGTTGATATATGCCTATATCATTATTAAAAAAATAGAAGCTAATTTAGCGTGGCAAATATATCGTGAAAACGGTTCAAACAGATTAGTTTTTCCTAACTTCATTTTAGATTTTTGGTTTTATATTAATGTAATATATATTATAATATATATATATTATATACATAGTATTATATATTATAAGTTTCTGCTTATTGTTTCTAATGAAAATTAACGATACAGACATTCTTTTTCTGAGTGAGCATTTTTTATTACTATAAAAGACATTTTTACCTATCACACTGATGACATTTAAATTAACTCCTAAAATTTTATGTATCCATAGAGGAACACTTTGTTCAAGCGAACTTCAGGAATAAGTATTCGCAAAGTTGTAAGAAGTCAAAATTTTGATGTCACGCGTGTTTTCAAAGAAATCTCCGTCAGGCCACGCGTGCAGCAGTACCAAGCGTTCTCTGCTAGGAGCTCCCATCGATACTTTAGTAATGCGAATCGCTCAAGCGGTAGTCTCAAGAATGATCTTTCGTTTCGTTTGTTCGCAACGTTAAAACCACTAGCTGCTGTTGAATATAACGAAGGAAAGTGTGCTATAGATTATTCCGACCAAATGGTTTCTCATGCCACCACAATTAGAAAAGGAATCAAATGGTACGGAAAACTTGGCATTCGATTCTTTCTGGGAATTTCTGTTGTAAACGCTTTGACGGTTTACAAAATTGCAACAAGGAAAAATATAAATATTAGAATATTTAGACGATTATTAGTTGCAAAATTATTAAGGTTGTCTGAAAATACAAAAAATCCTTGTCTTCGACGGAGTCGGCATAATATCGCCGTTCGGAAAAACGATTCCGGAAGAAGCATTAGACGCGCGTGCAAACTACGTTATGCGAATAAAAGACGTCGAATGGACCGAACAAAGGCACAAGAGTATTTGAAGAAAACGACAACTTATTGTCCAAATTGTCCCGACCAACCTCAACTATGTATAGAATGCTTTAAAGTTTTACATTCTAATAATTTTTTTAACAAACCATTTTCATATTTTTATTTTATAACAATTCAATTATTATTACAATCAATTGTTAATTAACAATTTATTATTATGGAATATCTTTTCAAGTACCTACAACGATCCTTTGCAAGTAGTCAAATAAACGACACCCGAATATGAGTGTCGTGGCGGTCAACGTGATATGCGTTTTGAGTGTTTTTGTTTTGGTTGAGTATTTTGAGTTTAGATCTACGCAAACTACACGAACAAATTTTCATGGAAATTGATAAATATTTACAAGAAAGATTAACAAAGAAATTATAATTTTTCATATAGTATTCAAACAAATGGATTTTGTTAGAATGTAGTTACATAACCAGATTCGTCGTTTAACAACAGAACATTTTTCCCTTAACATAATTCCTTTGTCTCAAGTAGTTTCATATTTGTACGCGCGCGTGTGTGTATCTAATGTCGATGACAAGTAAACGATACTTTACTCCACGAATGCTTGCAGATGCTGACGAGTCGAAAACTCAGACGAGATTGTTGTTTTCGAATGCTGAGAGACTAAATGATTCTTATTCCAGGACTAATGAAGAAATTGTTTATGATTCGAATGTTCGTACAAGACTGATCGTGTTAAACTCAATTGTGTCAAGGCAAGAACGGTAGATCCGAAAATATGTGTGCTAATTGATTTTTACTGAACTCAAGAAAATGGCCAATCAGCATACTCGCTCGCTGTCCGTCAACCACTGCACTTCCGTGCGTGTGAAACGCGGGAGACCATCGTCTGGAAGAAAGTGAGCGATATCTGGCCGAGCGTGAGGTTCCAAATTTAATTAGAGAAAGATCGAATTCCTTTCGAGTGGCCCATGGTCGGAGCTAAATTATGTTTCGCAAGTAACCGCGTTTATGATACATTCGGATGTTAAGAATACAATGTACTTGAAAAATGAAAAGTACTGCTACAAAAGGAATCATTCTAACTGTGAGTGCCAACCAGAATACAATAAACATGGAAAATTAAAAGCACTGTTAAGAAATCATTCTAAGTGTTAATTTTACGTGGTGTTTAAATGACTTGGCGTTTACTTTCTATAGGCCACCGAAGTGAGGCGACGCTTCCTTGAAGAATCTCTAAATCTTAATTGTCTTTCCGGCAAAGGGCCAGCAACTCAATATTGGTACCAACGAAATTCGTCCCGTTATACGAGTAAATGTTACCCACACATTTCACGACGAATCGTTCTAGCTTGGCGATGAATGCGTCAGTGGGCAGATCGCTCACTGCCCCGAGATGAACAACCTTCGTGGCCAGACAGATGAAAAGGGTAACGTAGACCTTTATGCGTATTCGAATGCGATGTCGCGCTAGTCGACTCCGCGGTTTACGAAGGACCGACCTTCCATCATGCTGATAGCAAGCAGCTGTCCCATGACGTACTCGGTGGATGCATTGGTGAATGGTTCTGCGCGTGGTGCTCTTGTTGTCAATAGACTAATACGAATGTTGTAAAGAGATAGTGTGCGCGAATGTACACATCTTGAATGACAAGGTCGAATGATACGAAGACCTTTTGCCATAAGAATGGGATGGCTTTGGACATACGGAAGGTTCAAGTGTCATAATCTTCGTCCAACACGCAATATTCCCCTGTCATCAAGGAATATATGAAACGGGAGAAGTTTCCTTTCCACATGCAGTTCCTCTCCAGTCGCGAACGCGCGCATTTCTTTTCCAAATACCCAAGAACGAACGACTTGCAGCCTCAGAACGTTTTTCTCCTGGATCTCTCGTACAGTTAGAGGACCCCGGGTACGATGTTTCGGATGGAAGCGCAGACAATAGACAATGATTCGCCGAAGTTTATCAATAAACAAGTAGCGTGCGAGTAACCCGTCGCACGAAACCGCGATTCTGAGGCATGTAAGCTGTTTGAGTTACGGTGATATCACGAATTTCGATTTCGACTACTTTTTTTCAGCTTTCTATGGTCATCCTAGTCCATGGCACCAGTGCGACAAACGAGAAATTGACTGTATATTAATCTTTTTGACAACAAATCCGCCGAATTATCTTGGGATCTGGTGTGTTGCCATCTTGAAACACCGATCCTCGCCTGAACGTCTGCTACACGGTTGACTACGAATGTCTTCGCCGCGCGAGGTTCCTTGTTGATCCAGTCCGGGACAATTGTCGAGTCCGTCGGGAGGTGAATATTGTAGAAGCGTTGGATGATAATTTTTCCTACGGTGGTGAACAGCGATGCGAGAAGCGCTGCGTCGCAAAATTCTGAAGAAAAGCTGATGCTCTTGAGTGATCTTTGTGAGTGAAATCTGTTTGTAATGGAAATTATGCCAGACCGTGCAATTTGATTCGGTTACTCAATCCCCGTCTATTCGCGTCGCGTCGCGATATGATTTAGATGAGCCTTTCGAATTGTCTTCAGTCGCTGTTCGATGAGCCTTCGAGGAATCTTCGATATGGAAAGGCTTCGTGATGTCTTTCTTTACAAATCTTCCAGGACGATTTGTCCTGCGTCTGGGTTGTCGTGACGATCATGGAGTAAGCGCACTCCATGGTCCGCGATGGTGATGGCAATATGCGCGTGCATTTCTTGCTTCTTGGAGCGGACGAAGGAATCCGCGATGTTCGTCTTCTTGCGTTGTTCCCAGCTGACCCGCAGTTTTTCGACATATTCGCGGAAATATGTGAATACGCGCGATAGCAGATCGGTTAATCGGTTCACGGCTGTTGAAACAAAGTGCTCCAAAGGTAGTACCTCATACGAAGGTATACCTCATCGAGCTGAGGCATCTTTGTGTCCATGGACAAGTAATCACAACTGACCAATAGATTGTTCCGGGTCACCCCGATTCATCCCAATGCACGCAGAGATAAAATCGGCGCCTGCATGTAGTTTACGAAGTCGTGCATCGACGCCGATGAGTCGTCAATCATTTCCAGCATGTCGATTAATAACGTGGCGTGGCGAAGAACAATCACGCGTTCATTGTCGTATGCGTCAAACAGCTGTTCCCTGGCTGCTGTATAGTTATCCTTGCTAATTGTGAAGGACTCTATTGGCGATTCCGCTCTTCCAGATACAGACAGATGAAGGTAGTTAAACTTTTGGGTATTACTCAAATCCGGATATGAATGGATCATGTTCAAGGACGAATACTTGAATGTAATCAATTTTCAAGCTTGCCATCGATTTTGGCAGATGTACACATATGGTCGCAGAAGTATTCGCGGCGGATGCAACTGTGGTGGGTAAAACGTTATTGGAGCGATTAATTGAGACGAAGGAAAGTCGTTCCAGCTTTAGCAACATGGTGATGGCGGTCGTGATGGCGTCGCCAAAAATCCAAGTTATTCCACTGTCCCATCTCATCCATGTCTTCGGCGAGTCTGAGCTTGTCTCGAATATTTTTGAATATTCAAACTATTTTCGTAAATTCTCGATGCGTATACGAATCTTGGCGCGTCCATTATTGCTATCGACAAATGTTTCGATGTATTTATTGAAGGACGTTAATTGCGCTTTGAATGTGAGTTGCTTATTTTTAGGTTCACGTATACTTTCGTCGACACTGTTATTTACGGGCAAAGACATTTTCGAACGGAAATATATTTACGTATATTACGAAGGAAATGGACAACGAAATTCCTCATCACTAAGCAGTGATTAATTTAGGATATGATCGGTAATCGAAACGAGCTTACCTTGACCTGAGCTCGCTTGCCTTCCTTATTGGTTAGAGATAGTCACCTTCTTCGTCCTTAGTGTCGCTGACTGTTCTTCGATTTTCCGACCAGATTTTCTGCATCTCCTTGGGCTTCTCCTTTTCGAAGAACCACAAAGTATACACGCGTATATATGTGTCGGATGTCGATGACACTGCTCTGCACTTGTCAACAGAGGAATTAACCTGAAGTAACTGATTCACGAGGAATGGTTGAATGAGTGATGAACTATGAATGACACTAAGGGTTGCCCTTCTCCGAACGATGAGATGATTTCGAACTCCCTGCAACTGCTAAGATGAGATTTACGAGTGATCGTTGCGAACAATTAAACGATACTTCACTTTCCGACTCCTGAGGATTAACTCCGATTCGAAATGTAAAATTCGTCCAGGACTGAAAACTGATCGTGTCAAGTGATTAAACGACACTTTGCTCTACGAATGCTTGAAGATCGTGTCTGCAACTGGCGGGCTCGCATGATACTTTACTTCGCGATTGCTTGAAGGGAATCCTGAATTCGGACGAGACTGTTCTTTCCGAATGCTAAGAAATTAAAACGATTCTTATCCCACGATTCGTGGAGACGCTGTTAACGATTCCAATGCTCGTGCAAGACTGACCGTGCTAGAATCAACGGGGCAAGATTCAAAAATGGAAATCCTGAAAATATACGTGCTGATTAATTTTCATCGAGCGCAAGAAGGTGGCTAATCAGTATGGTCGCTCGCTGGCCATCACTCACTGCTCACATGCTCCGTATGTGCAAAACGCGGGAGACTCTTGACGGGAAGAAGATGAGCGATACTTGGACGAACGTGAGATTTCGAATTTAATTAGGTACGAGCATTTATGATACGTTCGGCTATTAAGAACACAATATACTTGAAAAATTAAAAGTACTGTTGTAATTG